CGCAGCACATTGCACAACGTGAAATGCAACCGAGGATGTCGATGCGCCTGGCAGGAGCCGTGCCCTGCCCGTGCCGCGCCGCCGGAGCCGCCTGGCTCTGCTTTCGCCCGCTCCCTCCAGAAAGTTCCCTCAGGGCGGGTTTGAAACGAGAGCTGTTCGCCCAGACAACACCTGGAACATAACAGAGGGCACTTCTGCAAAACACCCTTGGCGAAAGGGCTTCAGCACGGGGATTAAAACCTTCACACTCATACACGAAACTCCCAACGTCAATAAAGGAATCTATCAAATGGCTTAAAAGGAAAGGGGCTTTATTGGGTGTGTTCGTCGCTTCCTTCTCTCTTGACGTGACAAAGGGAAGAAAACCGGGCGCATTCCTTTGAAAGCATTTAAGAAAAGGTCCGCTTCCGGAAGGAAGAAGCAAACAAACAAACAGAAAAGCGATTTTCTGCTCGTTTTGCAAAAATATCATTGGGGGACAGGGGGGAGGAAGTCTTGAGCACTTAAACGTGACTGTTATTTTGAAGATGGCTCCAAATTTATCCCCGCTTATAAGACGATTACCTACATGTCATGCAGAGCAAAATATATCTTCCTCATATATATTAGGAAAGTAATTACAATCATAAGGGTAAATATTTTCAAGCGCTATGCAAACAGAGGAGAGGTTTGGAAATCCTCTTTTCTGTTGGCAGGCATTCAGGGCAGCGCTTTGACAACAAGAAATGCCCCGCGCCTCGGCCGGGTACCTGGGCTGATGTGTCAGTTGTTATCTGGGTGCCCCCACGCTCACCTGGGGGGGAAAAAAAAAATGAAAGAAAAAATAAGAAGAAAAACAAGCTGTCCTTCCCAAATGTGTGAATTCGTGGTGCGGTATTTCCAATACACCAGAATGTTCCTTATCAGAAGTATTATCATTTTTGAAAGGGGAAAAAAAATAATGGAAGGAGACGCATCGTTCACAAAAAGCCACTGCAATGCATGGTACCTCTGTAGGAGCCGTGGGGCGGGTGGTGATACGCCAGCACTGCCACAGCAAAGGAAACTGCCGCCCAGGACAGACAGGTAGCTGTGCTGTGCACAGAAATACAGCACAAGGACAACTCAGCAACCGGGTTTCTGTTAATTGAAAGTTGAACCTTGTTCATAAGCGATAGAAAGGAGAAGGGGGTGGAAAGGAAGACAAAAAAATCTCAAGGGCCTGTAGGGCAGTCGCTGTTTAGTTTAGAAGACCGAACGCCCTTTCCCAGCGTGATGTACAGAACCTGACGCTGAAATGGCAAGGGAGAGAGCCAGCAGGGCTGGTGCCGAGCTGCTGCAGTTCCCTCTCCCGGGGGAAGGCTCGCTCCGGGTTTTTGGGTGATCCCGACCAGGCTTTGCAGCTCGCCAGCCTGACCTGTCAAGCGGATTATTTTAGAGGGAGATTAATAGGGGAGGCGGGCTGCAATAATAATCGTTTTGTTTGATGTGACAACTTTGATAGGCGTTGATTTACTTACAAACTGATAGGCTTTTAATTGAGCGCCTCCATCCAGCTTGAGATGAAAGGAAAACCGCATTGAAAAGCTGCCCGAGTGCCCTCGAGCCTCAATACTGATTAGCCATCTCGACAGTGAATAGTTCAAGGCATTTTCAAACTTTTTTTCCTCTCTCGGTCTCGCTCTCTTCTCCTCCTCAAATATCTGCCAGCCCACTCCTTTTTAAGAGAAAATAAATCATTTCCATTGTGTGCAAATAAAATCGACTTGACATGCTTGCCAATAGCTGGTAGGTAAAGGAAAGTGTGGACTGGCACTTGTTAATTAATTCCTCCTTTGCTCTCTCTTTTTTTTTTTTTTTTTTTTAGTTACAATTTTCCTTTGTAAGAGCAGGAAGACGGGTTTCAACCCTCAGGTTTTGTTGTTGTTGTTGTTGTTGTTTATTTTTATTTTTTATTTTTTAAAAGAAGAATAAAAGCTACCGCCACCCAAACTTCAACAAGACTACACAAGTAAGCACCAAGCAGCAACCCGGCTGCGCGGATTCATTAAACGAGGATCCCTCGCAAGGTAACGAGCAGGACGGAGTCCGTCTTCCTCAGTCGGGAGCGGAGAGAGCCGCCAGCCCCGCACTGCTCCGCAGCGCTCCGCGGGGCAGCCCGGCGGCGGGACTCCGCTTCTAGCCGCGCACTGCGCGCCTTGGGAACGGGCAGAGCTGCCGCGGCTAAGAAAGGCTTTTGGGAGGGGAGGGGATGGCTTGGCATTTGTTAGGTTTATTATTATTATATATTTTTTTACAACCGTCTACATAAAAAGTTTACAGTGCTGAGTGTGATTTAATCCTCATTTCAAAGGCTCGGCGGAAAAAAAAAAAAAAAAAAAAAAGAGAGAGAAAAAAGAAAAGCTGTTCTCTGAAGTTACTAATGAAAGTACCCTCCGATGCTTCTACCTCAGCCAGAGAGCTTCGGGTTCGCGCTGCTCCCCGCCCGTCCCTGCTCCCCTCGGTGCGCGGTGCCGTGCGCACGGAGCGGGCACAGCGATCGCCTCGAGTCCGAGGGCCCTCCGAAGTCCCCGCACCTCCGCCGGGCCGGGAGGGAAGGGAGAGGGGAGGGGGGCTGCCCGCAGCTGACTCTGCCTTAGGACAATTAATCTTTAGGCTTTCACCCTGGGAGGCAGGATAAATACAACGAGAAAACAGATAGGAGTCTCTCTGGTCCTGTAAGGAAAACAGCTGTTCCAAGCACTTTAATGCAAATGAACACAAATGAAGGTTTCAGCTTTTTTTTTTTTTTCTTCCTTTTTTTTTTTTTTTTTCTTCCAGAGTTTTACTGCACTCCATTTATCAATTGGACTTGACAACAAAAGAAAGAACGGGGGGAAAACCTGGGGCAGATTCAAGTCACTTCCACTCTGTATGAAGGAAGGGGGAGTTCCTTACGGGCACGGTGCGGGCTGTCAGTCCCGCTGCAGCAGCAGCAGCTTTTGTGCGATGCTTCTCCCTCTGCCCCCCGATCCTTTAACTGTCACGGCCTCAGAAGAACACAGCGGGCACGGTGACATGGAAGCCCGGCTCTGCCTTGCACCGACACGTTCCGGCGACACGCTCCACGATTCCAGAGAACACACAGAAATTAAAAAGTTTGTTAAAATCATCTTTCTAGGAGGCGAGGGCAGTTCCGCGTATCGCCCCGTTCTATTCAACGTGCCAAAGAGCGCAGCGGTTCAGTAAAGGCCACCCGAGATGCTGACCCGGCTGAGGGACCGACGGAGCACCGCTCTGGGGGCAGGGAGGGCGTCGGAGAAAGGCGGCCCGTAGGGAGAGGGCCGCTGGGGGCTGCCCGGCACGGGGTGGCGGTGCGGGGAAGGAGAAGACGAAGGCAAAGGCGAAGGACGGTGCTCGGCGGGGCCGAGAGCGAGCAGGGAAAGTCCTTCCCCACGCCCACCCCTCCCCGAGCGGCGCCTGTTCTGGTTGGAGTCCAGGTCAGGAATTGGCCGCGACCCCTGAAGCACTTGCCTTGTTCTTCACTTGTCAAACGTGTTTTATCTCTAAGTGACCTTTTTGTTAATGTTGTAGATTGTGTGGGCCACCATTGTCAGATCCGGAAACAAAAGTAAAAGATTGATTAACACGTTTTGCCTGTGGAAAAAAAAAAAAAAATGTTACGGGATGAGGAGGTGGGGAAGAGCGGGACGGGAAGTACAAAGGGGAGAGCAGCGGGCGGCGCGGGGAGCGGCAGAAGGGCCGCGGGCAGCGCTCACGCTGCGCCCCCGGAACGGCGCAGGCGGCCCCCAGCGAGGCCGGGGCGCGGAGCCGCCCGCTCCCGGGTGCGGCGTCGGGGCCGAAACGGCCGCTGCGGAGGTGGGAAGGGGAGAGCGGCCCCGCCGCCCGTTCCCGCAGAAAGACGAGTTCCGGCTCTACGCCGCGGAGCCGCTCGCTCCCTCTCTGTTTTCCTTCCTCCCTCTCTCTCCCCCTGGAGTCACACCAGGCTTGTAATCAGCAACAAAAGCTGACATAAATCAGGGCGGATTGGCAGGGCTGACAAGCCACTGACGGATGGCGGCGGGGAGCGCTGACAGCTGACGGCGGGGCGGGGACCCGCGCGGCGCGGCGCGCCGGGCGCTGCGTGACAGCGCGCGACGCCGCCGCCGCCGCCGCGTTTTCCGCGCCGCCGCAGGCCGCGCCGCAGCCCCCCGGCTCCCGCGGGCAGGGCCGCCACTCTGCAGGTTCTCGTCCGCGCCCGTCCCCGCGCCGTCGGCCGGGAGGGGCGGAAAGCGGCCCGCGCCCTTCCCCGGGGCCCGGCGGGGGCGGCGGAGCCGCGCCGCGGTGGGGAGTGGGGCGAAGGCCGGGCCCGGGCGCAGCGCGGCGCGAATGGACGGCGGAGGGCCGCGATCGGGTGGCTGCCGCGTCGGGGCGGTTCTCAGGGTCGGAGAGGCCCCGCGGCAGCCTCCTTCCCGGCCGGCGCCCGTCGGCCCGCGGCCGCCTCCGCCGCCGCCCGGGGAGCCGCGCTGGCCGCGGAGGAAGAAAAACGTTCGCGGCGCGTGATGTGAAACACAGAATTAACGCCCAGCCCGTCCTGGGAGCGCAAACAAGGAAGGAGGGGAGGGGAGAGGGGAGGCGGACGAGAAAGGGAAAAAAAAAAAAAAGAGCGAGAGCCCATTAAAAACAGAGAAAAAAAGCCCCAGAAAAGGGAACGTCACATCCCCTTGACCCTCCAATCACCTCGGGGTCCCATTTGATTGGAAGGCGGCAAAGGCTTTAATCTCAGACTAATTCAGCTGCTTTTGAAGTGAGTTTCTCCGCCAGACCCCGGGCTGGATGGGCAGCGGCTCGCAGCACAACTGAGCGCGGAGCCGAGCGCTCCGCCCGCCCGCCCCGCGCCGCGCCGCAGCCGGGAGCCGAGAGCGGCCGGGCACGGCGCAGCCGCCCGCGCCCCCCGCCCCTCGCAGCGCACGGATTACTCGGCTTTTTTTCCTCCTCTTTCTCTCCGGCCGGCTCCCCCTTCCCTCCCCCCCCCCCCCTCCCCACCCACGCCCTCCCCGCCAGCGAGAGCCGCGGGACATTTTATGTTTGTTTTCCTCCTCGGGGGGCGTGTGGATTTTTTCCCTTCTCGCCCGCAGAAAGCGAGTGAGCGTTTCCGAGTGCGAGCGGCGCGACTTGCCCCAGTTTTCATGCGAGGTTTTGGGTCATGATCACATCGCCCTCGCTTTCTGCTCTCAGAAGTAGTAAGCGCAGCAGCAGCCTGAGCGAGCCCGGAGGCAGCCCCCGCCGCAGCCGCAGCGCCGCCGACCTCAGTGCCGGGCCGACCGGGCACGCTGGGAGCCCCGGCAGCGCCGCCGCCAAGCCCTGCTTCCACGCCGTCCCCCCCTCGGACCCGCTGCGCCAAGCCAACCGCCTGCCCATCAAGGTGCTGAAAATGCTCACGGCGCGGACCGGCCACATCCTACACCCCGAGTACCTGCAGCCTCTCCCCTCCACGCCCGTCAGCCCCATCGAGGTAAGCAGCCCCGGCCCCTCCGTGCCCTGGCCGCCCCGCATGGCGGCTGCCCCGCGCCCGTTCCGCTGCGGGTCGCGGTCGCACCGGGGACGGGCGCCTTTGATCTTAGTGCGAGGAGCTGCGCGTGGTCGTCGTTTCCGTGTTTACTCGGCTGCCTGGCGATTCCTTTTTGAATAAACTTTCATTTTTGCTCTTTTGATCTTTTTTTTACTCCTTTTGATTTTTTAAATGTTTTATTATATATATGTGTTGTGTATTTTATATATATATATATATACTTTTTTTTTTTTTTTTTTTTTTTTTTTTTTTTGAGAGAGAGAGAGAGAGAGAGAGAGGAGCGGTGGGTGGAAGGAAGCGCCCCGCTCCGGGGTCACGATCCGGCCACGCCGCTCTCGCAGCTGCCGGGCGTTGCGGGGGGTGCTCGAACACGGGCTCGGCGCGGCGCGGGGCGGTTATGGCGGCGCTCGGCCCTCCGCCTTCGCCGTCTTTTGGGGGCTTCGGGGCCCCGCTCTCCCTTTCTCCACGCTGTCGGGGCCCCTCGCTGTTTTAGGAAGCGAACCTCGAAATGGAGAGGGTGGTGGGAAGGGTGTGTCCGTGGGAATGAATGATTTCACTGAGGTCTCTGCGGAGCGAAGCGCGGCTCCCCCCTGGAGCCCGGATCGTCCGGGCTCTGATTATAAATAGCGGCCGCGGTCAGGGCGCAGAAATGCGGCAGCCGACGCGGCCCGAGGGCTCCCTCACGCCAGAGGCGGGGGTCGGCGCGGGGTGGGCGCTGCCCGGTGGGCGCTGGGCGGCCGAGGGGGTGCTCGCACGGCTCCAGCGAGCCCTAGCCCTCTTTAAAGGCTTTGTGGAAAATGGTGCATGCAGGGGAGGGGGCTGTCAGGGTGATGAATGTGCACGAAATCGTTCATCGCTTCCAGGCTGGCCCCTGCAAAAACGTGCGGGACAAGAGACCTACTAGGTACGCTCCGGGCTTCTTGTTTTTTCTTTTTTTCATTTTATTTTTTTTTTCTTTGAGCGGACTCCCCCATTAAACCTCTGTCGTTGTGTGTCTAATTCCTGCAGCTGGATGCGAAGAAAAGCCCCCTGGCCCTTTTGGCACAAACTTGCTCGCAGATAGGAAAGCCGGACCCGTCCCCTTCCTCCAAACTCTCCTCGGTCACCTCCAATGGCTCCGGAGGCGACAAGGACTCCAAGTCGGGCCCCCTGAAGCTCAGCGACATCGGCGTGGAGGACAAGTCGAGCTTCAAGCCCTACTCCAAACCGGGCGCGGAGAAGAAGGAGCCGGGGGCGGCGGGCTGCGCGGGCACCCCCGCGGCGGGGGTCGCGGCCGGAGAGAAGTCGGGATTCCGGGTGCCGAGCGCCACCTGCCAGCCGTTCACCCCAAGGACAGGCAGCCCCAACTCCAGCGCCTCCGCCTGCTCGCCCGGGCTGCTGCCGGCCGAGGGCAAAGGCGGGGAGGACAAGAAGGACTCGGAGAGCTGCGGCAAGAGCGGCGGCTCCGGCACGGAGGGCGGCCCGGGCTCCGCCGGCATCGGCCACGGCCGGATTAGTGTGAGCTGCGCCGGGATTAACGTGGAGGTCAACCAGCACCAGGAGAGCGCGCCGGGCTCCAAGCCCATCGCTTCGGACTCCGCCTCCTCCTGCAGCAGCACCACCGCCACCTCCTCCGCCTCCGTGCTGGGCTCCGGCCTCGTGGCCCCCGTCTCCCCCTACAAGCCGGGCCAGACCGTCTTCCCGCTGCCTCCGGCGGGCATGAGCTACCCGGGGACGCTGGCCGGGGCGTACGCGGGCTACCCGCCGCAGTTCCTGCCGCACGGCGTGGCGCTCGACCCCACCAAATCCTCCAGCCTGGTGGGGGCCCAGCTGGCGGCCGCGGGCAGCCTGGGCTGCAGCAAGCCGGCCGGCTCCAGCCCGCTGGCGGGCGCGTCGCCGCCGTCGGTGATGACGGCCAGCCTGTGCCGAGACCCGTACTGCCTGAGTTACCACTGCGCCAGCCACCTGGCCGGCGCCGCCGGCGCCTCCTGCGCCCACGACCAGGCCCTCAAGTCCGGATACCCCCTGGTGTACCCCACGCACCCCCTGCACGGCGTGCACTCCTCGCTGACCGGCGCCACGCCGCCCTCGCTGGCCGGCCACCCCCTGTACCCCTACGGCTTCATGCTCCCCAACGACCCCCAGCCGCACATCTGCAACTGGGTGTCGGCCAACGGACCCTGCGACAAGCGCTTCGCCACCTCGGAGGAGCTGCTTAGCCACTTGCGGACCCATACTGCCTTCCCGGGCACCGATAAACTCCTCTCCAGCTACCCCAGCTCCTCGTCGCTGGCCAGCGCGGCGGCCGCGGCCATGGCGTGCCACATGCACATCCCCACCACGGGCGCCCCGGGCAGTCCGGGCACGCTGGCGCTGCGCAGCCCGCACCACGCTCTGGGACTCGGCAGCCGCTACCACCCGTACTCCAAGAGCCCGCTGCCCACCCCCGGCGCGCCCGTGCCCGTGCCCGCCGCCACGGGACCCTACTACTCCCCTTACGCACTGTACGGGCAGAGACTCACCACAGCCTCGGCGCTGGGCTACCAGTGAGCGGCGCGGGCGGGAGGGGGAGGGAGGGAGGGGAGGGATGGAGCCCTCCGAATTCGGTGGAAGTCGGCAAGGAAAAAACAAAAAAAACGACAACAAACATCCCCCCCCCCACAAAACAGAAATGGGACTTTTTATACGATAGTGTTCATCTGAGGACTGGATCCGTGAGCACTGTATTTATTTATGTTAGCTTCAAGCGGGACAACGAATCATAAAGTGCATTACTTAACTGAGCTCAATAGGTAAAAGTGGAACACCCATTGTAGAATATAAATAAAAAGATAGAGGTCTTCTCTTTAATGTTACTTTAAAATTGCTATGATTGTATCGTACGTTCTTATTTAATGTCTCATTGAAACAACAAAAAAAAATTTACATGCATGTTTGTTACTAAAAAAACAACTCGCAATTTGTCAGTTATAATTTCAAATTGCAATTATTTTTAAGGTGTATACCCTTGAAAGAGAATTGGTATTTTTTTGTATGTATTCTGGAAGAAAAACAAAAACAATTCTATTCCAAAAACCTCATTTGCCTTATTTTGTTCTTTAAAAGGAACACTTAACTATTTTTAATTTTTAAGTCCACCCTGTAACGAGGGTTAAGTAAGGTTTACGTCATGTACTAAAATAGACAATGTATCGCTTTAAAGATTAAAATTCCGTATATTTGATGTATTAAAAGGTTTTACTTTTTTTTTTTTTTTTTTTTTTTTTTTTTTTCATACGCTTGGATTCTGTTATAAACCTGAGTAGGTCTTGGATGAAGGCGGTTGCTACTTTCTCCTTCAGCGTTTATTCAATTTTAATTAAAAATTTTAAAAAAAGAAAGAAAGAAAGAAAGAAAAATAGAGTTTTTTTATTATTATTATTGCTACCCCAGGGCTCTCTTAAAAAAAAAAAAAAAAAAAAAAAAAAAAAGACGAAAAGGATTTTTTTTTTTTTAAATCGTCCCCCCCCCCCTTCAGTAGAGTTGGTGGGCACGGAGCGGGCAGGATGAGGTTCGCTCCCGTCTCTGCCCCTTTCCCGAGGAAAATGAACTTTTCTTTTTTTTTTTTTTTTCTTTTTCCTCAAAAGAGCATTTTACTGTGAAAACCGTTTTCTTTTCGATGCGAGCTTCAATTAACTGGCGGCGTTCTTTCTTTAGGAAGAGACGCGGGGAAGGCAGCACTGTTGGTAAAAGAGTAAGAAGATTATCCGAAAGCTTTTTACAGTGTAACGCGTAACCATTCATCTCCTTTTCTAAGTGAGAAGTTCCGAAGTAATTGGGAAGCGCTATTTGATCTCACCCGGTTATTTTCAATTTCTTTCTTTCTTCAGTTCGTACCGCAGTGCAAAAAAAAACCAAAACCAAAAACAAAAAAAAAGAAACATAATAATAATAATAAAAAAAAAATCGGACTGCTCTGGGAGCTGCTTTTCTTTTAAGAAGAAGGGAAGGGCCGGGGACGAAGGATCCCAGCAAACCGCCCGCAGCCGGCAGCGATGCCGAGGGCCGCCCCGGCCGCGTTGCTGCCCGCCCGGCACAGCCCCGCCGCGGCCAGGAGCAGCTGCCGACACCGCGTTGCACCGCGCCGATGGGAAGAGCGGCTCCGCGCCCTGCCCGCTGCCGGCCCGGCGCAAGGCGAGCGGCGGCCGGGCTCGGCGAGGAGTTGGCCTGCCTCCCTCCTCCCGCATCCCCGCGATACAATTACTGTTCAAAGTTTCCCGCGGTGCCCAGATGCTAATTAGTCTAATACATTTACTCCAGATAATTGGTGCGAGTTAGCGTTAACGTGCAGAGCGGAGAGGAGCGGGCGGCTAACGAAGGGCCGGCGTTCTCTCGGCCCGGCTCGGAGCGGGGCCGCACCGGGCTCGGCGGGTGCTGAGCGGCTCTTTGGGGACACTGCTCCGCCATCGGCACGGAGCGGCTCGGCGTTTTCACCAAGCGGTGGTTCCCTCCCCCCCCTTAAATGGGAAAAGGAGCAGCGCGTAGCGCCGGTTTGGGGAATGTAAAACGAGCTCTCGTTGTGAACTGATGAGTTCGGGGAAAGGAGAGAAGGGCAGCGCCGTTAACCGCACCGAGCAAACTTCACTGATAAAACGCATCGGCCGCGAGCGGGGCCGGGAGGCGGCAGGAGTCGGCGGGCAGCCGAGCGGCGCGGCCCCAACCCAGCCACAGCCACAGCCCAGCCGCAGCCCGGCCCGGGCCCTCCGCCACCCGCGAGTCGGGGAAAGGGCCACTGCGGCTCCAGCGGGGCGTGCGAGCCCGGTGCCGTTACGGCGATCAAAAAGCACCGCCGCTTCTCCGCACGTACTCCACAATTAGAGATTTCTAACAGCTGCACCTCCGACTCCGCTCGCTGCAATCCGTCAGCAGCCAGGTGTTCGGGTCTGTCGGAGGGAGAGCGGGGGAGTTCCGTGCGCCGGAGCCTTAATTGCAGCGCTGCGGCTCCCAGCTCTGAAAGTTGTGCGCGAGGGGTTCTGATGCGAGTGATAAAATGAGCGCTTAACGTTATTATTGCCGTTCTGCTCAGATACTGTCAGCGACATTAATGACAAATGGAAACGGCTTATTTTATATGGAGAGCGGTGCTAAGGAGGGCTCTCTCCCCGGCTTGTTAAATATTTGACCTGGCAAGTGTCACGGAGGATTTTGATATTAATCTAGGAAATTCGCTATTTTTTCTAATGGAGATTGACTTATGGACATTAATGTTTTTAGGTAAAAGGGCCGCGTTTGTTATTTCGTTCTCCCGTTCCGACTAGCTGGATGGCTCGAGGAGCTGACAGCAGCCGCTGGTCCATGCCACCGAACTAAAGTAATTTCACAGTGAAAAACCAGCTCGGGAGGACAAGCAACAGAAGGGCAAAACCCATCACAACCCCAAACTCAGATCGATCTGACCGGAGTCAGGCATACATTAGTTTGAATTAAACAGTTTCATCTTCCTCACAAATCTTTTTTGAACACTAAAGATAAACTCATGTAATATTTAAATCAACTCCTGTCAGACGCTAAGTGCAACCGAAGAACCAAAATAAAAATTAATGACTTTCCCGGCGCTGTGCGAGGCTCGCTCTGGGTGCCGCTTCGACAAAATACTTCTGATAAGCGACGCTTAGAAAAGAAGGGTTCTGTTTATCTTATCTATGGGGAAATGTAATTAAGCTGGTTTTATGAAACAATAAAACACAGACTCCACAGACAGCAAAGGAGTTCCTGCAGTATATCTCGGCCTATATGGGCATATGTATCTTGGCTTGTGCGCGCAGGTCGATACCGAACACACACATACATGTTTGCCTTCCTGATTTCCGAGCGGACAGCGGAGCTGAGCACGGGGATGCCTCTGCGACGGGGGGCATTTATTCGGCGGTAGGAGGCCCCGTTTTGTGGGATGGGAAAGTCGTTCCCCGCCACCTCCAAATCCGCCCTGAACGCTGCGGCCCCGCTTCCCTGCGCCGGGGCTTTGCTGAGCCGTGCGGGCTGCGAGCGAGATGGCCCAGGCAAGCACAGCCTGGAAAGGCCCAGGCTGGTCCGAAAAGGGGCACACGTGCATTCCTGTTCTCTGAAATACAGACCAAACTGCACTCTTTCACATTTAGAAAAGACAGAGAGAAATACTGCCTTTCTTTTATATTATTGGCTTTCACTGCAGGCTTTCGGTAGGACGCCTTTTGGTGTTGTTGTTTTGTTGTTTTTTTTTTTTTTTTTTCCTTCCTAAAAAGAGCGAATCTGAAGTTGGAAAAGATCTGGAGGCGGCATCACCAGCTCTCCTTTCCATCCGGGCCACGAGAATTGCCCCGTTCACTTCCAGCCCCGAGCTCACACACTGCCCGACGGTCGCACAGCCCCGGGCGGAGATGGTGGATCCCCACTGGGGCTCTCCCACAACTCGCTGCGTGGCAGCTGGGGGCAGATTCCCTTTTCACATTAAAACATTCAAATAAAAATAAAATGTTGCGAAGAAGTATAAAGGCGTCAAAAGAAAAAAAAAAGACGGACCCTAGCACCGAAAGCTCTCACCTCTCCGGAGGTACGCTGCTTAGGCAGCAGAGACGGGGCTGAAATTTGAGCGCGTTGCGCACTCGGGTTGTGCATAAACACGGAGAGGCCGTCCCGGTGCCGGCGCTCCCAGCCGGGCCCGCCAGGTGCTGCGGTGCGGACCCCTCTGGCCGCGGGCCGGGAAGCGCCCGCTCAGCGCTGCGCGGGGTCCCTCCTGCCCTCATGTCTGAAATCCATCCCCGCTCCCCTCGCAGCCATCCCGTCTGTCCCCTGCGTGGAACAAAGCGAAGCCGTTCAGGCTTTGGATATTGTAAGAAGCCTCGTGTGTGTTTTATTATTTTTTATTTTTTTTAAGTCTTCAGATGAATTAAAGACAACCTGACAATGCTGTCATCTGTCTTCAACGTCACATCAAGGCAAGCAGTAATGATAACAGAGCAGCAGAAGGACGCCTACTGAAACCTGGAGGATATATATACGCATACATACACACGCATATATATATACTCCTCAGAACAGTTCGAAAGAACAAAATTAGATCGCTGTTCTTAGGCCATCGCGGTGAAAACGTCAAACAACGATTTATATTTAAGCAACAGCCTCACATTTCCCCCTCTACTCTGCGAGGCGCGCGCTCCTCGGTCCTCACCACCTCTGCGGGAAGGGGCAGGAGGACGGGCGGCCGCACCTCCTGTTCCCCAACTACTACGACCAAATGGGAACGCGAACGCGCCGCCCTCCCCCTCCGTGCCCTCGGGCTCTCGCTTCGCCCAGCGGCCGCTTCCCCGAGGTGAGGGCCCCGAGCCCCCCGGTGCGGCGGCGGGCAGGAGGCGGCTCCCTTTGTCTGCGGCCCGGCGGGGCCGTGTCGGCAGCGGGACGGCCGTGGGGTCCCGCCCGCCAGGCGGCGCTGCCGGGCCCGCCCCCGCGGGGCGCTGCGGATGAGCGCGCCCTCTCCGCTTCGCTCCGCTCAGGGCGCCGGGCGCGGCTCCCCACGGCCAGGCCGAGCCCCGCGGCCCCGGGCAGAGCGGCGGCGGCCCGGCCCCAGCGAGATTGCGCGTGCGGGGGCGGCAGGGATCGCGGGGCCCATCCGAAGGGAAGAATCGCAGCGTAAATGGATTTAGCGAGATGGAAGCAGATAGGCCGGACTAAGGGGGGAGGGGGGGAAAGAGTGGGGGGAATGTGGCATTGGTGATTTTTTTTTTTAAATCACTCTTGTAATCTCATTCAGTCTGAAGGGTAAATAAATTGCAGTTGTATGAAAAACAATTGGCGCTACATGTGTTCATAACAGATGGGATCTTATCACAGTTTAACTGTAATAAATTC